TGTGTATATAAATTAATATGTACTATGCAATAAATTTATTTTCTTATATATATTTTTGTTTTTGTCTTTGTTTTGAGTCAGAATCTTACTCTGTTGCCAAGGCTAGAGTGTCTTGGCATCAGCCTAGATCATAGCAACCTCAAACTCCTAGGCTCTAGTGATCCTCCTGCTTCAGCCTCCCAAGTAGCTGGGACTATAGGAGCCCACCACAATACCAGTTAATTTTTCGTATTTATTTATTTGTCTATTTATTTATTTATTGAGACAGAGTCTCACTTTCTCACCCTCAGTAGAGTGCCGTGGAAGCGTCACAGTGCTCACAGCAACCTCCAGCTCTTGGGCTTAGGTGATTCTCTTGCCTCAGCCTCCTGAGTAGCTGGGACTGTAGGCGCCTGCCACAATGCCCAACGATGTTTTTGTTGCGGTTTGGCTGGGGCCAGGTTCGAACCCACCACCCTTGGTACATGGGGCCCATGCCCTACTCACTGAGCCATAGGCGCCACCCTATTTATTTATTTAGAGACAGAGTCTTACTCTGTCATCCTCAGTAGAGTGCTATGGTGGCACCACTCACAGCAACCTCAAACTCTTGGGCTTAAGCAATTCTCTTGCCTCTGCCTCCCAAGTAGCTGGGATTATAAGTACCCGACACAACACCCAACTATTTTTTTGTTGCACTTGTCATTGTTACTTAGCAGGCCTGGACTGGGTTTGAACCCAACAGCCTTGGTATATGTAGCTGGCGCCCTAACCACTAAGCTATGTGTGCCAAGCCTTTTTTTTTTTTTGAGACAGAGTCTCACTTTGTCACCCTGGGTAGAGTGCTATGGTGTCATAACTCAGAGCAACCTCAAATTCCTGGGCTTAAGCAATTCTCTTGCCTCAGCCTCGCATAGTAGCTGGGACTACTCAACAGCCTTACTCTGGCTCAGGCTGGTCTCAAACCTGTGAGCTCAGGCAATCCACCCATCTCAGCCTCCCAGAGTGCTAGGATTACAGGTGTGAGCCACCCCACCGAGCCTTAACCCTTATAAAGTGTACTATTCAGTGGCATTAAGTACCCGCACCATATTGTACAACCATCACCACTGTCTAGTTCAGGGGTCCTCACACTTTTTTTTTTTTTTTGAGACAGAGCTTCAAACTATCCCCCTGGGTAGAGACAGCAACCTCCAACTCCTGGGCTCAAGTGAGTCTCCTGCCTCAGCCTCCCAAGTAGTTGGGACCACAGGCATCCACCACAACACCTGGCTATTTTTTGGTTTCAGCTGTCATTGTTGTTTTGGCAGCCGGGGTTGGATTCAAACCCACCACCTTAGGTGTATGTGGCTGGCGCCTTAGTCACTTGAGCCACAGGCGCCGAGCCCTCAAACTTTTTAAACAGGGGGCCAGTTCACTGTCCCTCAGACTGTTGGAGGGCTGGACTGCAGGCCCCAGGAGGAGTCAGCTGCTAAACAGGACAAGCAGCGGCAGCAAAAACATCCGGCAGGCTGGATAAATGTACTAGGTGGGCTGCATGTGATCCGTGGGCGGTAGTTTGAGGATGCCTGGTCTAGTTGAAGTTTTTTTTTTTTTTTTTTATTGAGACAGAGCCTCACTCTGTCACCCTGGCTATTGTGCTTTGGCATCATAGCTCCCAGCAAGTGCAAACTCCTGGGCTCAACTGATCTTCCTGCCTCAGCCTCCTAGGTAGCTGGGACTACAGGTGCCCACTACCACACTTGGCTAGTTTTTCTATTTTTAGTAGAGATGGAGTCTCACTCTTGCTCAGGCTGGTCTTAAACTCCTGAGCTCAGGTGGTATACCTGCTTCGGCCTCCCAGTGTGCAGGATTACAGGTATGAACCACCTCACATGGCCCATTAAGGCATTTCTTATTTTTATGCTTTGTAAACAATCCTGAGACAAATATTTTGTAATGTATAGATATTTTAACACATGACCAGTCACTTCCTTGGAATAAAACACTGGAAGTAGAAATGGTTGGTGAAACTTTTATTTGTATTATCAAATATTTCTGACACATAGAAAAAGACCAGATAGTAAACATAATGAATTTGTGTTTTCCACCTCATGGCTTTAAAAAAAACAAACAAAAACATTACAAATAACAATGTCTTAGGCGGCGCCTGTGGCTCAAAGGAGTAGGGCACTGGCCCCATATACTGGAGGTGGTAGGTTCAAACCCAGCCCTGGCTGAAAACTGCACAAAAAACAAAAACAACTAACAATGTCATGTATAGCTTTCCTGATTCCATTCTTTCTTCTCAGCCTTTAGGGATCCATTCAGCCCCTGCCTTCTGTGTTTGGTAAGACTTGACATATTTGTACCTTTTTGCATCGCGTATCTATGCCATGATCCTCTTTATATGTCTTTTAACCCTTCATGTAAATGGCATTGTAGAATTCTAGCAGCATGGTGTTCAGGGCTGTCCAGAGTAACAGTGCTGTTTCATCTACTTTCACTGACCTACAGTGTTACCTTGAATGAATATACCATGATCTATTTATCCATCCTTCATGTGATGAACATTGAGGCCATTTCCACTTTCTCTTTGTTAAAAACACTACCATAGTGAACATTCTTGTGCTTATATTTTTGTTTTATGTACTTAAGTTTTTCTAAGGTATATATGTTTACCTATTAGTAGAAGGACTAATGCCCTTTTTTTCTTTTTTCTATTTTTTTTTTTTTTTTGAGACAGAGCCTCAAGCTGTCCCCCTGGGTAGAGTGCTGTGGCATCACAGCTCACAGTAACCTCCAGCTCCTGGGCCCAAGTGAGTCTCCTGCCTCAGCCTCCCAAGTAGCTGGGACCACAGGCACCCGCCACAATGCTCAGCTATTTTTTGATTGCAGCCGTCATTGTTGTTTGGCGGGCCCAGGCTGGATTCGAACCTACCACCTTAGGTGTATGTGGCTGGTGCCTCAGCCATTGAGCCACAGGCGCCGAGCCTATTTTTTTTTTTTTTTTTTTTTGGGGGCTTTTCTTTTTTTTTTTTTTTTTGCTTGTACAAAAGGTCTTTATTGGTGGGGGGAGGGAGGCTGCAGAGCAGCACCGAGGAGGAGAGAAAAGAGGAGAGAAAAGAGGGGAGAGAGATAAACAGAGAATGGGAAAGAGAAGAGAGTAGAGAAGAGCAAGGGGGAAGAGGTGCAAAAGAGAGAGAGAGCAGAGAAGAAAGGCAGAGAGAGCGAGGGACTGTACTTTTAAGATTCATACATACTGATATGACTTTTATGTGGCATCTTTTCAGCTTACTGTCCCCTTCCCTGGATAAGGCTACTTTTCTCCTCTCGAGCTGGTCATCCATCTCCCTTAGGCTGATAACTATTAAGTTACAGCAGGGCTCACCCTGCCCTGGTAGAGCCATTTTTGTTCATCTTGGTCTCCTTGATAGACTGAGTACTGTTCCAGGGCAAGCCCCAGGCCCAACTCTCCTCTGCCCAGCAAGCACTTGGCCATAGTGATGGTAGAAAGCTGTGTTACCTTTAAGTGGAGGGATGCCTTGGGTTGGGGAATATTTCAAAGTTCAGGAGAGCTTAGAGAGGTGAAACATGGGGCCTCAGGAGTAGTCCTAGTTGAAGAAGGAATTGCATGAACAATGGGAAGCTGGGAGCCAAACCACGCTTGGTCTTTGTTTTATAGGTGGGAACCTGAAGCCCAGGTTCCGCGAAGTCACAGAGCATTGTAGAACCCATCAGCCTCATCCTCATGGGTTGGTCATCTCCACATTCACTCAATACGTGTAACCAAAGTGTCTACTCTGTGCCAAGAATAGTTCTAAGCACATAAGATATATAGCTATGTAGTCAAGTGCCACAAAACAAGCATGTCAGTCATCTGTACTTTTCTACATTTAGATACACAAATGCCTAACCATTGTTGCCTACAGTAGTCAGTACAGTACAGTAACTTGCTTTATGGATTTGTAGTCTAGGAGCAAACACTGCTTGGTGGGTCACAGGTTCTGCCGGCTGGATTTGCAAAAGTGCTGCTCTATGGTATCCACACAAAGACTTAATAGCCTAAGGTATCTTGGATGCATTAAGCAAGGCATGACTGTGGTGATACAAACTAGCAAACAAAGACCTCCTGTTCTGACTATGGAGCTTATTATTCTGGGCATAATTATGGTGAATTGCTAATTATGTTTGCCTCCAGGATTCAAGCGAGGGGGAGATCCCAATTAGAGGGAAGGCGCCCCAGGGGAGCGCTCCTTGCGTTAGGGCTTGTCTCCAAAGCCTCCAGGTTCTCAGTCTCCCCTCTCTCCCATATACTGCGGCAAGACCCTACAGAGTTCTTGTGGGTACTCCCCAGACAAAACCAAGTGATTGGGCGAGGGAGAGAGGGTGGCATGGAAGAAAGACCGAGCAGCTCTTTGTAGCCAGGCAGGGTTGTCAATAAAGTTTTGTCGCCTCGGCAACCACAGGCCTCGCGGGGACCACGGAGGTGAGCCCGCATTTGCCGCCTTGCGACAGTTGGCTCGCCTCAGCTTTCTCTCTCCTGCGGCCGAAGGTTTCCACTGAGAAAGAGAACTAGGAGAATGAGACGCATGTGATAGACAGAGGCTTTAGCCAATGGAAATATAGACCGTTCCAAAACGAGCCAATAATATTGAGTTCTGTAGCTGACAGAGCCTGCCCACTTTCCACTTGTACCTGAATAACCCGACCCAACCCGAATTTCACCCGGAGCGACAGCCCTCTCAGCCAATGATGGCTTCGAAGTCAGGCCGCTGCAGATGAGGCGGTGGGACAAGTTTCCATGACAGCGGATGAAAGACAGCAGTGTGAGCCACTGACAGCAGTTGGCAGCGCCTGACCACAAAGCGGGCGTGCCGGGGTTTTGTCGGGGCACTGACGGGATTCAGGAGGGGAGGAGAAGCATGAGGCTCGGCCAATGGGAGCGGCATGTACTCCATAGCGACGAAGGAGTGGCGGTGGCCCTGGCCAATAGACAACCACGGTGGCCTTGGCGGGGTGGGCCTGTAGGGCAGGCTGGAGGCGCGGCGACAGTGTCTGACGAGAGCTGAAGGAGGCAGTGGGAGGTGGTGGCGGCGGTGGCGCGGGCGCCGGAGGAGGAGGCGGAGGAGGAGGAGAAGCGGGTGAGGGGCGGCGCGGGGCCCGACTTCTGAGCCCCCTCACGGCCCCCGCCCCGCGCCGCCTTGGCTCCCAGTCGCCCCCCGCCCCGACTGTCCCCCACCCCTCCCGGCCCCTCCTCGTGTCCTGGAGCCCAGGTCTCCCGGTCCACCGGGCGGGCCTCGACGTTGCAGCCCGCTTCTCTGTGGTTTCTCACCCAGGCTTCTCTTTGCACCAGGGACTCTCTGACCCTCTCTCGCGTTCCCAGGTCACTCTCTGCACCCCTAGGCTTGTACCTGACCCCTCTCTCGCCTCTCCAGGTCTTTCCCTGCACCCCTAGAGCCTCTCCTGGACTCCTCTCGCCCTCAGGCCTCTCCCTGCACCCCCAGAGCGTTACCCCTGCCCTGTTGCCCTCCTGGCTCCTCCCTGCACTCCCTACCTGTCCTCTTCTCTGTGCACACCCAGACCCCTCCCTGCACCTCTCAGTCCTCTCCCTGCCCCTGAGCTTTTCCTTGACCCTTCTCTCACTCTCCTGGGGCTTCTCCGAAGGCTTTTCTCCCTGGCTGCTCCAGGATGACCTAGGATGTCCCCAGGCCCTGTTCTGCTTCCCCAGGACCCGCACTGGACCATTCTTTGCTGTCCCTGGCCTCTAGGTCTTCCTGACTTCCCCTTCCGCGGCACTTCAGTCCCTGGTCTGTGGCCATTCTCCTTCCATAGCCTTCTGAGCACATCTTTATGTGGTTTTGTCTTTACCTACGGGCCCCCTCCAGCTTCCTCTCCCTTCCGAGTGCCCCTTTATTTCCCCCCAGCTTTTTAGACCCCTCTTCCAACTGCTCCAGCTTTTCCTGATGTCTCTGCAGCTCCCCCCTCCCTGCCTGTCCCCATCTACTCCTCTACCAGGGCGCAGATGGGCCTGAAGCGCCGAGGTGTGGGACAGGCCCTCCGTCAGTGGTAGGGGTTTGTTTATTTTTTTCTTAACCTCTTTGTTTTCTCTCCTTGCTACTCTTTTTAAATTCTTTAAACAATTTACGACCTGTTCTGCCTCAGCATACTGTTCATTTCTCTCCCCTCACCCCTGCTTCCTATGATCCCCAGTAACTGGAGTCCTTGGAGAGGGAGCAGGTGCCAGGACCCCTTCTCCTCCATTCTCCTTGCCTCACTCCTTCCAGGCTACCTGGGGCGTCACCCAACCTCCAGCCAGTGCACTGGCCCACAGAGGCCTGCTGGGCAGGGAGGGCAGGACCTTCAGGTCCTAGTGGGTGGCAGGAAGCTTTGGCTTTTCCTAAAGGTGGAGCCTCCCAGCAATGCTAAATCTTAGGGTTATCTGGGACCGCCAATTAGTCAGGATTTCCTGGGCCCACAGGGACTTATATCTGTGCGGGTGTGTGCTTGTGTGTGACAGAGAGAATCTCCCTGTGCATACAGCTGGGGGTGTCTACACATGTCAGGCAGGCAGCAAGCATGTGTGCTGTGTTCACACAGGGGCTGTGGGGGTTGTAGGGGTTATGTGCATTTGGAGACTGTGGCTGCCCTGTGGAGCATGCTGGGAGAGGGACACTGACTGTGATGATGGCTGTCATTTCTTCTGGGCAACCCCACTGTCAGAAGCACCTGTTGCATTTTCTCTCCAATGAGCCCCCTGTGAAGTGTTGCTTTTCTCTCTGTTTTGTAGATGAGACTGCAGAGCTTGCCAGAGGTGCACACATCTAAGTGGCACAGGGGCAAGCACAAGGCCTGGCTCCCTGGCCCTGCCCCGGCTGTGCCCTCACGTGCTCCCCGCTCTCTGTCAGAGGCAGCATGGTCCGCAGGGCACCATGGGCCCCGACAGAGTGACTGCCCGAGAACTGTGCGAGAACGATGACCTAGCCACCAGCCTTGTCCTAGACCCCTACCTTGGCTTCCGTACCCACAAGATGAACATCAGGTGAGGGGGTTTGGGGGTCAGGGTGGGCCCCAAGGGGTTAGGGAACCCTCTTCTTGCACTGCTGCCCCCCTCAGTCTGGTCTTCTCCTTAGCTCCAAGTGGGTGTGGATGTGGGGCCCGGGAAGGTCCTGGGACCCAGGCGTACCCTCTCCCCCAGCCCCATGCCCCCCCTGCGGCGACAGCACCACCTGCGCACAGCACTGGAAGCTTTCCTGAGGCAGCGGGACCTGGATGCTGCATACCGGGCCCTGACGCTGGGAGGCTGGATGGCCCACTACTTTCAGAGCCGGGGCCCACGGCAGGAGGCTGCCCTCAAGACCCACGTGAGGGAGCCCGCCCTTCCCCCAACCTCGCCACGCGCCCTCCCTGCTCACCTCTCCTGGCCTTGCCCAGCAAATGCCCCAGAGCCCCTCAGCGCACCCCCTGGGGGTGCCCTGACTTCCTAGCCCTTGGAACCATCTGAGGTGAGGCTCAGAGAATCCTAGGAGAGGACAGTTGGGGGGGCATCTGAGATGGAGTCCAATCTCTTCATTTGACAGATGAGGAAACTGAGGCCCCAAGAGGGGACGTGAGGCCCCAAGACCACACAGTGAGTCAGTGGCAGAACAGGCCTAGAACCCCAGAGAGAGGGGGCCAGAAATGTATCTGCCCCACCTCCTCACCTCCATCTCTCACTGCCACCAGGTCTATCGCTACCTCCGTGCCTTCCTGCCGGAAAGTGGCTTTACCATCCTGCCCTGCACTCGCTACTCCATGGAGACCAATGGGGCCAAGATTGTGTCTACCCGTGCTTGGTAAGAGGGCAGGGCTCCTTCAGGGGCTGCTGAGAGAGGAAGCCTTGTCCCCTTGAAGGAGACAGGGCCCAGAGGGGGTGGGACAGAAATCATCCTGTTCAGTGGCTGGCTGCCCAGAAGAGAGAGGGCCCAGTCTAGGCACTGCAGGAAGGACAGGGCTGGAAGATCCATTTTGCCCCCCATGGTGCAGCTGGAGAATGAGACCTTATGTGACCCAGGGTTCCTGGGGCTGCCGGGGAAGAACTAGGCTCTACTCAGGACCTCATTGTCCTTTTTACATCCTGACCTGAGTCTCTGTCTGGCACTAAGCTCCACGAGTACTGTGAGGGAGACCCAGCCTGCCCCTATGGGTGCAATTTTATCCATTTGCAGTACTACTGGTTATAGCTGTTAAGGACTGCAGTAGAACTGACCAGAGAGTGCCCAGAGAGCTCACAGGGACAGGACTGGAGGGTGTAGAAGGCACTGAAATAGAGCAGGAGAGACTAAGGTAGGGGGGCGGCCTGGCTGTTTGTGCTCTGTGAGCTCTCCTGAAGACTGTGGGTGGGAGCAGGAGAGCCTACCCTGGCCGGAGGCAAGGCATGCCCCGGCTCCTGTATCTGGGTGCTTCTGAGCCAGAGATCCCCGACCCCTGCGGGAGGCTGTGCTTATGCCCTGCGGCTTGGCCTCTTGGCAGGAAGAAGAATGAGAAGTTGGAGCTGCTCGTAGGCTGCATCGCAGAGCTTCGGGAGGCGGACGAGGGACTGCTGAGGGCTGGAGAGAACGACTTCAGCATCATGTACTCGACCCGCAAGCGGAGCGCGCAACTTTGGCTGGGCCCGGCGGCCTTCATCAATCATGGTGAGAGCGAGGCTGGAGCGGAGTGAGCAGATCAAGGGCGGAGGGGCGGGGCCGCTGGGTGGGAGGGGCGGGGCAGGGGCGGGGCTCCTACTGCTCAGCTCACCCACCTCTTCTCTCCCCCTCTGACCCCTGGCTCCAGACTGCAAACCCAACTGCAAGGTGAGACCCAGAGACACCTGGAGAGCGTGGGCGGGTGAGAAGTAAGAGTGCCAAGGGCCGGGGGAAAGGACTAATTAAGAACTGGAAGCTGGGGCTGGGCATGGTGGCTCATGCCTGTAATCTTAGCACTCTGGGAGGCCAAGGCGGGTGGATAGCCTGAGCTTGGGAGTTGGAGACCAGCCTAAGTAAGAGTGAGAACTCTGCCTCTTAAAAAAAAAAAAAAATAGCCGGGCATTTTGGCGGGCACCTGTAGTTCAGCTACTTGGGAGGCTGAGGCAAAAGAATCACTTGAGCCCGAGAGTTTGAGGTTGCTGTAAGCTATGACATCAAGGGACCAGAGGGAGACACTGTCTCAAAAATAAGTAAATAAATAAACAAATAAAAGAGCTGGAAGCTGTCACACAGGATTGCTTCCAACTTACCAAAACAGTTTCCCACCCTCAGCATCCCTTCAGAATGGTGGTGTTTCCAAGGCTGTCAGGAGAGGAGGAAGAGGCTTTTTAGCTGGGCCAGTGTCGTCAGGCCATTTGCACAGTCACTCCAGGCCCGGTTGCCAGATGCTGGTAGCAGTCTTTCTTCTCTGAAAGCCAGCCAGGAGCTGTACCAATATGAGCAGGGAGTGTGAGATGAAGAGACAGAAAGTGGCAGCCAGAGCCCCTTGCTCCAGAGAGCCCCAAGGGCCAGGACTCAAGATGCTGTCCAGGTAGAGGGCAAAGTGTGGCAGAGCAGCTGACTGGGGAGGTGCCACAGCCATCCTGTGTGAGGGAGCAGAGGGGTTGAGGGGAGCCCTCTCCAGGAAGGTCTCGGGTGGGCACCCTGGGAGTGCAGACCCCTCCAGCATCTGGTGGTTGTGGGTGGGCTTCAGAGCTTTGGCTCCAGAATCAGAACTGGGTTGGAGTCTTGGTTGAGCTGCCCTGGCCTTGGGTTTCTTATTTCAGCTGTGGGGAGAATCCTCACTTCCTAGGATGGTAATGAGGGCACATGGTACTACTTGAGACTGCAGACTGATTTCTGCAATCTGGCACCACACACAGATACTGGGTGGAACAGAAAGCAACATCCCAAGTCTCTGGAAGGTGGTTAAACGCCAGCCACCTCAGACACAGGAGAGGGCAGTCATGAGCCAGAAATGCCAGGCTTCACAGAAGTGGTGCCATGCTGGGTGTTGGAAGAAGTGGAGGGCACTGCCAGGAGGGCATCCCAGGCAGGACACAGCACACCAGAGGGCTGGGGTGCCCAAGGATGGCTCGGGGTGGGTGCTAAGGCCTCATGAAGCATGCTGGGGAGCCACAGGAGATCCCTCCTAGTGCACAATGGAGGGCTTGTTTATATCACCTTGTCAGCCAGTGTGCAGGAGGCTGGACAGAAAGGAGAGAGGTAATAAGAAACTGGCTCCAGGTAGTGTCCTGGGGACCAGAGGAAACAGGATGCAGGAGGTGATATGCCACCTGATCTGGGGACCATCAGGCACATGGGCTGCAAGGGCCACCCACTCCTGGGTCAGTGTCAGGCTTGAGTGGATGGATGGATGGATAGGTAGACAGTGATCATGCCCCTTCTTGAATAGAGCCAAAGATGGGGAGAGTGAGGGGTTTGTGGGGCAACTACCAGGCAAATGATCTAGGCAGGGCTGGAGTGTGGTGCATGGGGTGGAGGGAGGGAAAGCCCAAGATAGGCAGAGCTTCACCTTGGCTGCTGAGACACAAGCTGGCAGAGAGTGGGCAGCTCAAGAGGGGATGGGCTTGGGTGTGTTAGTGGAGGTGGAGAGTGGTGTGTAGCTGCAGAAGCTAGAGAAACAGGCACAGGAGGGAGTAGTCACCACAGCTGGCACCACACACTGCCAGGAGGTTCGGTTAGATCACTGTCCTGCAGGGAGGGGTGGAGACCCCACCAATGGGCAGATTGTCCAGGCTCTGCAGGTAGAGGACAGGCCCTAGCCAGGGCAGTCATCTCTTAATGCAGTGGTTCTCAACCTTCCTAATGCCGCAATGTATTTTCATTGTTACAACGTTGGGACCCACAGTTTGAGAAGTACTGTCTTAACGGTACTTCCTTGGGACTCATCCTGACCCAGAAGAGGACCAGGGCCAGGGTACCCAGCCAGGTGGGAGAGCAAGGTAGCTCCTCCCCTGAGCCTTAGGCTGGGGTGCTGAGTGGGCATGGCCCCCAGTTTGTGCCCGCAGACGGGAATGCAGCCTGCGTGAAGGTACTCCGGGATATCGAGCCTGGGGATGAGGTGACGTGCTTCTATGGCGAGGGCTTCTTCGGTGAAAAGAATGAGCACTGTGAATGCTATACCTGTGAGAGGTGAGGATGGGGTAAGGAATAGGCAAGGTCTGCCTGGTCAGAACAGGCCAGTTACCCCAGGACCCTGGGGTCTCTGAGCCTGGAAATGCATCCTCCTCGGGTTCTATCCCTGACTTACCCAGTTCCACCCTTTCCCCTGCCCTCACCCCCCTAGGAAAGGAGAAGGAGCTTTCCGATTGCAACCCAGGGAACCTGTCCTGCCACCACGGCTCCAAGACAAGTACCAGCTGCGAGAGACCAAGCGGCGGCTACAGCAAGGCCTTGGCAGCACTGGTTGGCAGGGCTTACTAGGCCAATGGGCCTGTGCCCACCCATCCCTGCTGCGCCGGGACCCATTTTGTGGTGAGCACCCCTCCTTGCTATCCTGACAGCCTGTCCTCAAGCCCCTTAACTTCCTCCCTTTGTGGTTATCCGTCCCATTTCTGAGCTCTCTGCCCACCCTAGACTCTTCCCTGCTACTCTCAGTTCCCTGAGGGGGCCTTACTGTCCAATATGTGCCTGTCTTGTCAAGTTGTCTTCCCGTGAAGGGCACAGTGCATACTGGCTCTCTCAGGGAACTGAGAGTGGCAGGGAAGTCTAGGGTGTCCAGGAAAGGGTCTGCCAGGCCTTGCTTATGTGGCCTTTCCCCACCTCCATAGCTGCCTGCCAGCCCCTGTACCTGCCACCCTGCAGTGCCCACCCGGACACCTCACCCCTGTGGCTCCAGTGGCTGTCTCAGTTCCAGCCTCGAATGCGGCCCCGGAAGCGCCGCCGGCCCCGGCCTCAGAGGGCCCCAGCATCTCCCATCCCCCATGTTGCCCGCGTCTCCCTGCATCGTTGGGGAGGCTGCGGCCCCCACTGCCGCCTTCAGGCAGAGGCCCTAGTGGCACTAGGCCAGCACCCCCATGCCCGCTGGGCCCCACAGCAGGACTGGCACTGGGCCCGGCGCTATGGGCTGCCTTATGTGGTACGTGTGGACCTCAGCCGCCTGGCCCTGGCCCCACCAGCCACCCCTGCCCCCGCCATGACCCCAGGTCCCATTTTGGTACCCAAGCAGGCCCTTGCTTTCGCCCCCTTCTCCCCACCCAAGCGCCTGCGGCTAGTGGTCAGCCATGGCTCCATTGACCTGGATGTCCATGAAGATGGGCTGTGATGGGCTGGGTTGGGGGGAGAGACAGGAGGGAGGGGCCTCTCTCTTAGCTCTCGCACTTCCAGAAAAAGCTCTTGGACCTCTGGAGGGGTTAACCTTTTATCCCAGCACAGCTCTGACCCTGGGCAAGGGGTTGGTTTGGATATCCCCCCCGGAATCTGATCCCTGACCTTTTGTGACTGCTGACCCCTGAGCCACCCTCACCCTGCAGGGAGCCCTGGCCATTTGCTGCCCTCTCCACCCTCAGGACTGCAAGAGCCATCCCCCTCCCTTAGCCACATCCTCCCCAGGGAGTAAAGCCATAAGGGGGTAGGGGCCACCCTGTGGCTTCTCCCCAGAAGCCCAGGCCTCAGGAGGTAGAACTGACCTGGGGTGGTACTCCCTAGAAGGGAGCAGGTTTGCTCTCAGCAACTATTTAAGGTGGAGGGAGTGTGTGGGAGTGTCTGGGGGGTATGTTCTCACCCCCGCCCCCAAAGGTCTCAGGGAGGCCGGATTTGACCTCGTCTTTCTCATGGTGCTATCCCTGGTGCTATGGGTTGGGGGTGTCCTCCCCTCCCCAACACCAGAAAGGGGTTTGTTGGGGGGGTTGGAAGCACTTGAACTTTTTATTTTATTAAACCTTGTATAAACAGCACCTTTACAAGTTCTTTATGTTTATGTCTCTCAGGGCTGTCAGGGTGGGGATTGGGGGGGGCAGCACAGACCCTGGCCCTGAGAGCTGTTGTGAGAGTGCTGGGGACCAGTGAAGGGCAGCAGGTCTAGGGACTGGAGTGCCTAGGCAGGAACCCTTTCACTACTATAACTGCTTATAAAAATGCCTTCAGACCTGTCACATCTGGGTGAGAATCCTGGGAAAGGATTCTCCCCTCTTTCCAGACAAGGTAATTGAATTTGGGCCAAGCAGAGTGTCTTGCCCATGGACACAAGTGGACTTGGGGGCCCTTCCCTCACTTCTCCATCATATGCCCTCCCAAACCTCAGCCCATACTGAGAGATGAGACTGGTGGGGCTTGCCTATCAGGTGAGGGACTGGGGGAAGGTAGCTCTGATAGGGCCATCCTCAGCCAGGTCATTTTGGGCTTTACTCTGAATATGAGACAGGACAGTGAACTTCTTCATTGCTTCTGGTTCAATCCCTTATCTCAGTATCATCTTGGTCTCTCTCTCTCTCTCTCTTTTTTTTTTTTTTTTTGAGTCTCATTTTGTCCCCCAGCTAGAGTGCTGGGGTGTCACCCCAACTCACTGTAACTTCAAACTCCTGGGCTTAAGTGATCCTCTTGCCTCAGCCTCCCCAGTAGCTGAGACTACAGGTGCCCACCACCATGCCTGGGCTAATTTTCTTGTGTTTACTAGAGACAGGGTCTTGCTCTTGCTCAGACTGGTCTCGAACTCCTGAGCTCAAGGGATCCACCTGCCTCTGTCTCCCATAGTGCTGGGATTACAGGCATGAGCCACCACACTGGGCCCTTGCCGTGGTCTTTTAACTCTCACAGCAACCCTCATACAGAAAGAAATAAGGATAGCTGATAGTGCTCCCTGGTTCCAGCACCCCACTGTGCCCCGTGGGGACAGACCCTTCTCATTGACGTGTGCACAGGCATCACCCAAGGCACTGGAGACATTGCATGAATGAGCCCTTCTAAGCCAAATCCACACTCCGTACCCTCACCCACACTCTGCCTCTTTCACCTCCTGGTCAGAGATAGGGAGATGGTCTGTTTTGGTGTGCCCTGGGCAAGGCAGGCAGGACAGCATGGAGGGCAGATGGTGGACAGGTCATCATGGGGTAGAACAAGCTCTCTGAGCTCACCTAGCCCCTCCTGCCACCTCTTTTTTTTTTTTTTTTTTGGAAACAGTCTCAGTATGGCTCCCTCAGTAAAGTGCTGTAGCGTCACAGCTCACAGCTACCTCAAACTCTTGGGCTTAAGCAATTCTCTTGCCTCAGCCTCCCGAATAGCTGGGACTCCAGGCACCTGCCACAATGCCTGGCTATTTTATTGTTGTTATAGTTATTGTTGTTTAGCTGGCCTGGGTTGGGTTGGAATCCTCTAGCCTGGGTGCATGTGGTTGACACTGTAACCACTGTGCTATGGGTGCTGAGCCTTTTTTTTTTTTTTTTTGAGACAATCTCACTTTATTGCCCTTGGTAGAGTGCTGTAGCGTCATAGCTCACAGCAACGTCAAACTCTTGGGCTTAA